AGTAACTATTTTTAGTGAAGGAGCTGGAGGTAATTCAACTGTGACTTATTCTCTACAGCCAAGTATACGGCAACTTCTCTCATCTGAGAAAATGATGCAACTGTTGCAGAGAATTATTCACCTCAKGCAGAGCTGTTTGCTGTTAGACACTTAGATATAGACAAATTAGCTGCAGTTGAGTTGCATCACTATCTCCTCTCTCATCTCAGCTAATTGCTAAATCTTGAACACCGAGTGCCATGGGAGCTTTTTACAAACCACTCCCTTGCGTTGCTCTTTTGTATATCCCAAGAGATAAGAAACAAGTTGGAAATGTTAGGGTGCATTTGCCATGAATACTATTGTATTCACTTCAAACACATTTCAAAGTATGTTATTTTTCTACCAACACCAAAATTTACACAAAGCAGCAGAGTGTGGAGGATTGGAAAGAAAAGAAATTTAAAGTGACAAGTAATGAAAACAGTACATACATTTGAGCAGGAAGGTGGTAATCTCAGAGAGACCTATTCTGTGCATCCAGATAACTGTGTTTATCTGGAAAAGCGTCTACTGAAATAAACGCAGTTGCATTTGCGTTTAACTACTATCTACTAAGAAAGTCAAATTAGTGCTTTATCTAAGTTCTTTATGTTGGCAGTGCTATTTTCATTATGATTAATTCCATAACAACAGTTTGCTTGTGTAATGCAAGATTCATGATTGAAGAGGAACGTGTTTCAAAAGGAAACATCTTGCTTCAAGAGAAACTGAAACTAAAATATTGATAATCATACTTAAATTAAAAAAGGTTTCTGGCTGTAATTTTCATCAATTCTGCAGTCACATTAAAAACCTGAGCTAACACGGTCAGCGTCATTACCTTCGGTTAATCCATCTTTCCCTTGCTTCTCCCTACAATAATTTTCCCAGAAAAGCCCCCTCCCCTTGCTCTGCTAACAGCTGCCTTCCTTAAGAGCGAGATGTTCAGGCTTGAGCTCAGCACATAAGAAATCTCACAAAGAGATCTATATTCTATGGCAAGGGCTCCGATTTCCCATCTCTCTGTGTAAACGGGATCAAATTTCCCCCCACACCTGGGAAGTTTAATCTTGTTAGTGGCAAGGCAACAGACTCCTCAATGTCTTGCCAGGGTCATTTATCTCCCTGTGGAAGGGAGATTGCATGCCCGCTCATTAAGGTACCATGGACAGCACAAACAAAAAAACACAAATAATTCGAAAAATACAACCCTGAGCCATATTAATAGAGACCAAGGAGCGATCCAGAATTTTTATGACATTCTCCAGTCTCAGGTATTGTTTCATAAGGGCTTTTGCAGACATACAGAAATGCACACGAGTGTCTTAACACTTCTACAGGCAGTATTAGCTTGGTGTAGAAAATTCCTGGCAGACAGTCTCTAAAGGGTGACTCCAGTTGGAGGGATAACTTTTTATTTYCCCCCCCCATCCCTGCTAAGGGCATCGTTTTATTTCGACGGCCTCAACCCAAATCTCACAGCAAGTTTGCTTTGCAGAAAATTCATTCTCTGGTACTATCATTCAGACTTGAAAATTCACATTTTTATTGAACAAAATAGGAGAAGTAACTGCACTCTGCTCACCACAAACCTCTCCAGATACAGCTGCCACGAAATCGTAATTTGTTAGTAATATGACAAAATCTAGGGAGCAGTAGTTCACTTCTGTCAAAAGAAATTAGTGGTTTTGTCTGCTTAAGTAGTGGACTGTCAGGGCTTCTGAAACACAAGGAGTTAGAGAAATCCATTTTAACAGACACAATAGCCCCATTTAACAAGACAAATAACATCTCAAAATGCCACATGGTACCTAGCAGAACACAGTATTTCACAGCTATCGTTTCATGCTGCCTGCAAATTCTCTGAGACATCACGGGGGAAGGTTTTCCTCACATTTGGAAAATGTCACAGCAATCTGAACAAAACAAAGTTTATTTCAGTATATAAAAACTTAAACCCTAGAAACAAGGCTAGAGGGAGCAGGTGCATTCTGCAGTGTTATGAAATGCGAGGATCAATTGGTTGGTGCCCAACCAGCACCAGTATCTTCTTCCATACAAGGGYCACCAGATAACAGCTTATACCAAAAATCACTAACGAACATGGTCATCAGATTTTGCAGTATATTGTATTTGTTGTGTCTGATCCTCATCTACTGGAAGCTGTAAGAACAGTGCTATGCAAGGTGTGCCTTGCAATGTGCTCTTCTCACGTCAAACTGGGTACACCCTCCTCATGCAAGAGGCTCCTCCATTTGTGCTTGGCACAGATTTTACCCTCAGCACATGAAATGTTTAAATAATAAAACATGCTGAACGAGAACTTCAGCTCCAAAGCAGCAGGAGTTGATACTTTAACTGGTTTTGTAACTGAGGAAAAGAGGCAAATACTGAAGGCCAGTAAAAGGAAGGAAACTCGTGGTCAAGAATGCCCCCAAGAGGCAAAAAAAGGAAAAATGGAATCAGCCAAAGACAAAAGAGCAGCAGCACTGTGCRAAGTATCTGCAAAAGCCTGGGCTGAACTGTAATTTAGGGCCTACCTTCCTTTTACATTCACCATTTCTTGAGGTTGCTTCATTGCCAAATTGTAAACCTGCACGAGGATTGAAATCCCAGTTACATCAAGGCATGAAGCTTAAACCAAGAGAACAGTTCTCACTAAGTGCCCAAACAGTATAAACACGCAAGGTCAAAAATACTCATCATCAACAACCAAAACCACATTTTAAAAAACTGTKGTGTTTTCAAGTGGGAAATGGTTCCACAGGAAGTAAAATGCAAGATCCAGAAAAATGTTACGAAAAAACAGTGCCAAGAGCTTCGCACTTGGGAAGAATGTGTCCATACCACGGAAATGTATACACAAAAACAACATATGTCTTGAACCCTCTTCATATCCATTTTTGGTTACTTCATCATTGATTTGGAAGTGTCTGCTACCTTGTTTTTAAGGACGACTATTTCTCCCACGGGTGCTTTGAGACCCATTTTTTATTTTCCCCTCTCAAAACTGAGCAAGTAGATAGACAAAAACCCAGGGKTCTGAGTATAGATGGATGTTATCACAGGGTGGTTGTGTAGGGACATGAAGACCTCCTGCTCTCCAGGACAGAGCACCCTGTCCAAAATGCAGATGCATTAGGGAAATGCTGAAAAACAAGAGACTTGTAGGTGTTCTCAGAACATTTGCTTATTTAGCTTATTTTATTTTAACTGWCTGTATCTTTGCAAAATCAGAATGTTCCAGACTTCTTGAATATATTTTACTACATAAATTTGGCCACAATTTTATTTCTGGAGTGACAAAACCGAATCAGAGAGAAAAAAAAGAAAAAAGGAAGTTGGATTTAAATTTTCCTCTTTTATCCCAGGAGGAAAAAAGTAAATCTAGCATAATACAGTCTGAAGAAAGCAAAGGAGGCACTACAAATACTCAAGAATTGATCTAGAGCAGCAATATTTCAAGAGAAGCCCTCTTACCCTGCTAAAATGTCTCGCGTATTTTCCAAACGCAGCTCTCTTCTGCCAGTCTTTGCCCTTCTAACATAGAGGGGGATATTGAAAGTCTTTAGCAATATCATCTTTCCATGAGGATGCTACTGGCCTACACCCAGACAAACCACAGGTTRCACACCCATTTCTGTAACGGCAGTAAGAACTTAGGCTGTCCTGCAATAAGCAACAGTAAAGCAACAAGCGACCCAGAGGGAGAATCAACACAGGTTTTGTGCCAAGGCAGCTACWGCAGGAAAGGGAGTTAATACTTTGCTGCTTTTCAGGAGGTGAAAGCTTGCTGCAAAGCCTGGTTAAAGGAAAACAGCTTAGGCTAAATGGATGCCTTAGATTTGAAGATTAGAACAGAAGTGTCTTTGACTATATCACAACATCCATGTTAGGCTTTTACAGTGTGCCCAGGAGGAACTTATAAAACACTCAGGAAATGCGCCAAGTGGAAACGGAGCTTTTGGGCCCTTCAAAGCATCAACCACTTGGCACTTCCCAAGGAAGAGGCCAGCTCTTCGTCAGGCCTGCGTGCAACTGAGCCTGGTTACAACTCGAATAACCACATCCATGCAAGTCCCGCGGCTTCACAGGAGCCCGGAAAGCCGCTTTGAGGCGGGAAGTTCGGCGCCACCAGGGATGACTCCGGCTGTTTGCCGGGGYCCGGCGCCCTCTGCTGGAGCGCGCGCAGTGCCCGCCTACCACCAACACACAGAAGTGCTTTCAGATATTATCAATTCTACTTAAAAAAAAATCTATTTCCTATAGCTTTTTTYCCCCCCTCCCTTCTCCTTCATTCTGAGTATTCAGCTGTTTCTGTGGCTGAGTAATCCACTATCTTAATGAAGTAACTTTCCCTCATGTCCCTCTGCATAGCCTGTCCCCCTGTGCAGTCTCTAAGACCCAGCCGAACCACAGCAGACGGATCTACAAGTGACACTTCTGCAAAGAAACAGAACGCCTTGAAGGCAGCTCCCTGTTAGGGCGCCAAAATAACCTTCCCTCTCACTTCCCATGTGAAAATCCTGCTGTGGTCCCTTCTGTACTCAGTAAAAAGAGATGAAATGACCACTATAAACATCCCTGAAGGGCTAATTTTGCCAGGGGAAAAACTGTAAGGAAGAACAAATCAAAATTAGTTCTGGAGGACCTTGTTGCCAGCAATGTAAAAAGAAACAGTTGGATTTCCAAGAGATTACTTGTGAAGGGACATAAGCAGAAGTTGCTTAAAAATTTATAAGCTAAAGAGTAATGAGAAAGTCACAACAAGGGAGGAAAACATGCTATATACTTAAAGATAAGAATACATTAGACTACACAGCATATTAAGCTACAGGATAGTTTCACTTTTTTTCTGGCAAAGTTTTGCTTCCTTTCTACTTCAGATCTTCAAATACCAAATACAGACCTTCCCATCAGCACTCAGTATACAGACGCATCTGTTCATAACAACAGATTTTTTTAAGTAAAGTTTATACCTGGTCTTCACTTGTTAAGCCAAGGTGCATCACAAAATAAAAATGAACCAAGAAATCTGAATTTGGTAGAACATCTTGACGTCTAGTCATCATGGCACAGATCAGCCTGTATGCCTGAAGTTTCCCTTCTTTATATTCATTTGGCAGGGTGGTTGCCTGAAAAGAGCAAAAGCTTTGTATTAACACTAATTAATTAAATAATTAATTAACTTAATTTTTAATTAATTAAATAATTAAAACTTTGTATTAAGAGATGTATTAATATCTCTTTTAGCAGTCAGTTAACATAAGSCTGAATCTTCAGCAAGACGTCCTATAAAGCAAGTCTAAAACATGTGTTTACTAAAACAGACTCTGTATAAATAACAAATAGAAAAACACTGCTTTGGTAACCCAGATCAGTGATTTTCAATGTATGTCTACAGACACCAGAGGGGATTCATCACCTCAGTGATTGTGAGAATTAAGACTCATGGAAMTAAGTATGTACAGCTTCAGTATTAATAAAGTAGGAAACACAAAAGAAGCAACTTACCTTGAATAACCATGATGCAAATATTCTGAGAGGAGGTATTAAAACAGGAGGAGAGGGAGTAGATTGATTGTCCAAACTTATAGCAAGGTTGTCTCTTATCTGATGTTTTAAAGGAAAAGGATAATAAAAACATAACCAGAAATAAATCTTTAATGACTGCTTTTCCATTCTATTTTTTTTTACCAAAAGTACTAAACCCTGTGGTACACACTGGATTCTTACAGAAAGCAAAACTACAAAGACAGATTGTTTTACAGTGCTTCCCCACATCTAAGCGCTAAGCACTTGCCRTTTTAGACATACCATGGACTTCCACACTGAACACCAGCACTGATGATCTCCTAGCATACACTTCTATTTTCTCTGCCACTGTTTCATCACTTCTTTCAAGCTAGGTCATTTAAAATCTCTTACCATGAAAGGGGAACATTCTATTGGGAATACTCACGGAAACATCTATAAAATTACCTACCTATGACAAAATCCCCCAAATGTCACCCTTATGTCCCAGATGCTATTCCTAAATCCAAACTAATAACCATTCTTAAAATAAATGGAAAAATCATTGTATACACTACCTTGGCAAGTTTATACCACAGCTCATAGAGATAGCCAAAAACTTTTGCGTGGATTTTAGGAGACTGTATGTTGTTCACATCACCAAGAATTCCCAAGATCCTTCTCCACAGCACAGCAGCAGAATCAGGATGCCAACCTGTAAGGCTTCCACCAGCAATTATACTACAGTCATCAGCAAGGAATTCACTGCTATCTGTAAATTCAAAAAAAAAGTTCAATTTCTACTAATCAGAAATCCAATGTGCAATGTAAATCTGGTCAATAAAACATGAACATAGCTACACAACAGGAATAATCATTCTAAACAGTTTCGAAGAGATGTCCTTAAATATAAGTATTCAATCTATCACAATGACTTGGAGTTTCATTTATTTACCTAAACCAAAATATTTTTAGGTGAGGGAGAAAACATGCTACATCAAGACAAAGTACCATAACGATTCATTCAGGTTCAGTGTGCCATTCAGCCATAACAGAAAAACAGCAACAGAAAAAAGCTACTAGAAAAAATACACATGGTAATAGCAAAGACGAATATGCTCAAGCATTAACACTTCATAAAGAAACAGTAAAATTTGCCAAGTCTGTCAGGAGAATGGAATTCGTATTTGTGAATAGCAAACAAAGCAAGTGCAAACTTATGATCCAAAGCAGCGTTAGGTCCTATCTGGCGTGGCGCAGAGCGAGATGCAGCCGTCCCACCCCGCGCTGCACGCTCACCCTTCCTGCAACTTGGTCCAAAATCTCTCCCGGCAGCTAAAGGTAACTTGCTTCTTAAGGAAGCTAAAAGCAAGTTCTGAAAGAAATTAGTTCTAGGTCTAACACACAAAATTCCTTCTCTTTCTACTACTTTGTGTTCTTCAAATACAGATGAGGACTATAAGAAAATGAAAACAAGGGAAATACATTGTGAATGAAACAATTATTTCCTATCTGTTGAAATGCACAGTAAGGAACTCCCTGYACGTTCTTAGACACCCGCCTACGAAATAGTCTTAACTTTGARCATGTATTAAATTTAATCATTTTCCTTCAACACGAGGGCAGGTGATGAGTGCCCATGTAATCAGCTAGCACATCTCAGCTGATGAGTGGTAATTGTGTATGCTAATGCAATCACTCCCAACTGTGTGCATATTTTCCAGTTGATAATTTATGAGAACCTACATCAGCTTCAAACTGATTTTCCCCAATTCCTTAAATTCTGGGCATGCAAATCTCCTTTTTACACTATGAAAAAATCCTTGGTGATAATGTTTCCAAGTCATTAACAATATGAAATAATTTRAAGAATACCCTTAGGAAGACACACACACAAAGAAGGAAATAAACAGAATCTTTCTAATCATATTCTGTTTTTCATCTACTTCCTTTTCTCGGAATAGAAATGAATGAATTCCTAAGAATTTTTTTTGGCCCCTCTTTGAAAGAACCTTTTATAAAACAGCTCCTGCTGTCTAGTGAAACACAAACCATSAGTTCAGACTTATGAGCAAGAGTTGGCTACATGAACTTCTGAGAACATTTTYGTATTCATTATTGCACACAGAATAGCAGCCTCTAAATAGAGATGTGCCTTTAGCAGCATTTCTGCCTTCRTAAATCAGCGTCCAAGCCAAACTCCTCAGTGGTGCCCAGTGAATGCATGAGAGGCACTGAACMCATGTCAAGCTGCAGGAAGCTACAGTTCAACTTAAGAAAACCTTTTTACTGTAAAGGTGGTTGAATACTAGAATAAGTTTCCATGAGAGCTTGCAGGACCTCCATCAGCTACCAGATATTTGGATAAGCCAAGGTTATCCAAATAATTTTTCCAGGCCTGGGGCTGTGAATTACCCCTTGCAGAAGCTGCTAGCACTGRTGAGCAGAGAGGCAGCCTGGCCAGGGTGCATATATCATATCTAGGCTATGTTTCTAAAGCAGCTCTCACTGCACCCATCCCAGTGTATCCTTAACCATGTGTGCTGTAGTTTAATCAACCAATTTAAAATTCTTATATGTGAAAGTTCAGAATGCTTCCATTGACAGGCACTGTTCTTGAAACTCCCATCACAAATAATTTTACCATTTATAACAAACCTACAGAACCCAGCCCTACAATTCTGCATATGAATAATCTGACAGATTACAGAACAATTTACTACTTAGGGGAAATGGGTCACAAATCTATTTTTCACATCTCCTAACAATTTTAAAAGTCAATCCTAACTCTTAAGTGCATTGCTGCAAGTATAGTTAGATACAGATTTACTTGAAGAAACTCCTCGGGAAACTCCCAGCCACTACAGCAGCCTTCTACCCTGCAATAGTTCTAGCCAATGCTATAACAACTTGGGTTGGTGCCATATTCCTTCAGATAAGATCCAGATGTCACACTTACTGTGAATAATTGTAGTATTGTGATAATACTACTAAGTCAAAGTTCAACACCCATTCAATTCATTCAACACCAATACTATGAATGTAGTATGCACATGAAGGGGAAATGTAGGGAGGAAGGGGCCAAGCTCTTCTCAGTGGTGGCCAGTGATAGGACAAGGGGCAATGGGTACAAGTTGAAACACAGGCAGTTCCATCTGCATGTGAGGAAGAATTGCTTTACTGTGAGGGTGACAGAGCCCTGGCACAGGCTGCCCAGGGAGGCTGTGGAGGCTCCTTCTCTGGAGATCTTCCAAACCTGCCTAGATGCCACCCTGTGCCCCGTGCTCTGAGTGTCCCTGCTGGAGCAGGGGGTTGGACTAAATGATCTCTAGAGGTCCTTTCCAACCTCAACCATTCTGTAATGCTGTGATTCTTTGATTTTTAAAATGACCATTTACATCAGAATACAGTAATCTAACTCAAAAATGACTGTGCATTTGGGATGAATTAAAGCAGTAATTACTTCTTCCCATGATAAAAAAACATACTTTTATAATCACATTGCACTGTATCAACTCCTTTGGGGATAAAAGTCTAAAATAGAAAACACTTTCTTTAGTCTAAGTACCTGTTAAATTTGTAGCATCTGAAGGACTAAGCTGAAACCAGCGAGGTGCCTGGGCATCCACACCAACATCTGCCGATTCATTAACTTCATGGTCCTCCTCAGCCGTTTGCCAGGGGATAAGCGCGATCTCTACTTCGYTATTATAGCCAATGGATGCGTCACTACTCACACTCTCACCTGAAGCAAGCAGGGGATTAATAAAAATCAGGAAGGCTTTTTTGCAATAACATCAGCAAAGCATGATCAGAAGTGTCTCRCGTGTTGGCACATCAGTACCAGCTGGGAGTAGATACAGAAAAACACCATATTTCTTGGAACTCACTTTTTTCTCTCTCTCGGTGATTTCCATGCRACTGGTGCATGTCAGATTTCACATCTAATTCATCTGGACTGCTGCTCCTTCCTACTAAGACCTTCAGAGGAAAACACACACACACACACATATATATATAAATAGCAGCTCATCCCTATCACAGTTTTGAAAACTGCATTATACTCTATCACGCTCAGGACCCACAAAAAGACACAYGTGCACATATATAGAAAAGTACCAGAAGTTGAACTAAACTCAGTCAATTTATTTCCATCTCCCCATATTTCTTCAAATGTCTTAAGAATATTGYCACACTTTCAATTTCTGCCTTTATCTCCCCCTTTTTTAAATTCAGATCGACCATAATAACAGGAAATAGGCACGATCATTTATCAATAAATCTGTAACCATTCAAAAATTGATTAAAATTACCCTAGTGATTCAGCGAAGTTTTTCCTAAAATTCTTTAACAGTTCCAAGAAAACAACTGTTTCATTTGTCTTTCCTTGTCATGGTAATGAAGGCAACCCACTGGATACAAGAAGAAACTGTGGATAAAACTGCAAAATCCTATATATATACACACACATAACCTTACCACAGTTTCTTCTTGTACCCAGTGGGTTGCCTTCATTGTCATAGCATGGAAAGACAAACACATTTTTCTTAGAGTTCCACTAGGCAGAAATTAAAGTCTTCTTTCTGCATATGAAAGCAAATTATTGCCAGAGACAAAAAAAAACATTTGCAGGAGTTATTTCAAATTTGGATTTTTATTTATTTTTAAGGTAGAGAGGAGTTACAGTTTTCCCAGGAAACATATATCATCACCTGCTGGCTGGCAGTTCTGCTGACACTCTGACTGCAGAGAGGGTTTTTTTTTTCCTGGCTAATCTGGATTTTAGTGTTCAGTGCTGAAAAACTTCAAACTGATTGGAAGTTTGAGCTCGTTTGCACAGTGTTTATCTAGTTTTACAACAGATGTGTGGTCAACCCCTCAACTTCAGCTTCCAAAAGGGAGTGAAACTACAATTCCAGTAACCTCCCCAGCAGCAGATGGTTGTAAATGTTTTATAACATATGCTGCTAAAATAGAATAGGGAGGCAAGTTAATTTTTAATTCCCCACAATTACTGATCTCATCTCTCTCCCTCTCCTTTCCCTTCCTCCACATWAAGTGGACTAGACTTTCCTCCTTTGGAGACACTTATTCCTGAAGGGCTTAATGAAAACACTGCCCAGCAAAAGCTTTAACCTTCTCCCAGGGCCAAGTTTTCATGGTACTTAAAGTCCACAGGTACGGACAAAGCAAGAACCAAAGATGAGATCTACTTTCAAGTCCTGCAATGGTGCACTGCATTATCCTGCCACYAGAATCAGCAGCCTTAGTCATTTCTTACTTCTATTGTTTATTCAAATCTTGCATTAAAAATTTACGAAACATGACTGGCCTAATGTTAACTTACACAAGCATCTACAATAAACAGCTGGTAGTACAAACTGTGCTCAAGAAAAGCTGTTCCCCTAGTACTTCAACCCATCAAACATTTATTCCAGTGCAGTGTAACTCTATAACAACTATGAATTATTCATAAAAAAAGTGAGAGCTGTTCGTATTTAATATAGGAAAGGTCAGAAATCCATTTTATAGGAGTACAGTTGATCACAAATAACTATAGGGGCAACTTACAATATSAGAAGGCACAGAATGACTAAACCAAATAGTAAAAAGAACAGTTACAGCTTAATTATAGGTTGCATAATAGAAAAATAATTTTTATGCTTTCAGTTGCTAGCATTTCCCAATACTAAAGCACATCTTTTTAGAAATAAAATATGCTTTGTATATTTTTATGTAAAATATACTTTTATACTTTGCCTTACATGCTCAGCTTCATATTCCTTTTTTGTACATCCCTTATTTTCTTGTATCAGTTTGGAGTCTGAAGTTAAATTCTGAGAACTTCCAGTCTTTTTACCTACAAATTTCAAAAAGCAAGTGAAAACAGACAAAAATACCTAACAAATAAGACAATTTCTGCTACTTTTGTATATACATTTCTTCTTATTAAGTAATGCAATAAAATATTGYAAAAGCGTCATAATTGATCAATATGAAAAAAATCATGTTTTGAAAAATTGTAAACTAAATTTAAATGCCAGATAAAAGAAGTTAGACTATATGTACTTTTAGTGTAGTTTAAGTTTCATTTTTAACCTCTTTAAAAATGAAGTACGAAATATTTTCAAGCAGGAGTTAGAAACCAAACTAAGRCAACAGCAGCATCTATGAGCTGAACATTCAACACCTTTTCTCCATGAATTTAACATTATATTTCATAGAAATTACCTTGAAAAAAATCAGATGTAAACTGATCTGTAATATCTGAAGTGCTACTACTTCGAGTTAGTTGTTGCTCCTGGTCTGCAAATAGGCTAGTAGCTTCTGCTCCTGTTGATGTTTCTAACTGCTGAGATTCTTCAACTTCTGTTAGTGTAAAGAAAAAACAAAACATCCTCAGATCTTCAGAATTATTAACATGCAATAAAACCTTATCTAAGAATGGTTTGTGAAAAGGTAACCAATAGAAACATATAAAACCCCAAATTACCAAAGTTAAAACGACAACGTAATTCGAGTTTTATAAAATCATTTTAGAAAAAGAACAAGGTTGAGAGACGTGTGAGCAGTATAAACAGTAAAAAAGAAAAGTAAAAAACACTAAAAAAGAAATCACTTCAGGGGTTCAGAACACAACGAAGGCAGTGAAGATTTCATATGATGCAGACAAGGCTTAGTTTGTTCYGAAAAGAACTAGAAGAGATGTGAGAACAAAAACAGCAACATGAAAAAAGTGGGGAAAAACACCCTCAAGTATCCCTGAAAGTTCTCCGTCTTGTCTCCATCTAACAGCCAGTCCCTGGCAAAGAAAGCAGGCCAAACTAAATACACTGCATTACAGCACAGATCTGCCACCTCACGCACGCAAAAAAAATCATTTTCTGCACTCTCCAGGCAATTACAGGAAGATTGCGTTGAGATTTAGATTTAGAGGTTTTCTTGATGGAATAACTTAGGAGGGGAACTCAATCATAAAATGTACCTGAAGAAAGGACACCATGACATTTCTGTCTTTTTTAGTTCTCCTGAGGAACAGCACTGGTACAAGAATGTACTGGACAATAAGTAAATAAAACTCATTTTTGGCAATCTCTTTTTCAGCACACACCAGTAAAGCTTTGCTGAATACACAGGCAGGCATAGTCCTTAAGGTTCTTTTGCAGGGAAAAACATAAATATGAAGTCTATGTTTTGATTTGAATGTGTAAAGCTTCCYAAATCCTGCGAGCGCCAGAGCAGCCCAGGCTCCCTGAGCACATACAGCCTTTCAGGGCCACCACAGCTGGGCTCTCCCYGAGGACCTCAGCGGACGGGGCGCGTGGACGGGACACTACACAAGGTCTTGCAGCAGCTCTGAGCCAGCGGATGGGCCGAAGCTGCTGAGACTTGGGGCATTCTGGAAAGGTCTGCAGCATCACGATGCAAAATGCGAAACGAGGAAGGCCAAAGCCCGGGTGGAATTAGAGTTGGCGAGGCAAGTCAGAGACAACAGGAAGGGTTTCTATAAGTATGTCAATAGCAAGAGGAAGACGAGGGAAAATGTTAGTGCACTGYTGRAYGGGGAAGGGGCCTTGGTGACGGAGGATGCCGAGAAGGCAGAGTTACTAAATGCCTTCTTTGCCTCTGTCTTTACTGCTAAGGCAACCCCCCATGAACTGCAGGGTTCAAATGGAAGGGATATAAATGAGCTAGAGGAAGACCTTCTGCGGGTTGAGAAGGATTGGGTTAGGGATCACTTAGGCAAACTGGCCACTCAAAAATCTATGGGCCCAGATGGGATGCACCCAAGAGTGCTGAGGGAATTGGCCGAGGTTATTGCTCAGCCTCTCTCCATCATCTTTGAGAGGTCCTGGAGAGCAGGGGAGGTGC